TAGAGATGGAGGGCTGTGTTGTGATCCAGTGATCGAGTGCTTGCTTGGCATACACAGGACCTGGGCTCCATCCCTAGGATGGAATTTTTAGAAACAGCTTTAAAATAGAAAATAGGATATTGGCTTTATACCCTAACCAGCCTTCAGTGACTGATGGACCTCAGCCTTGGGCCAGAAAGACTGTAATTGGAAACAATATCCTTCTGTCCCGTGCTGTATAGAAGTAGGGACATTTGTTATGAAACCCTAGAAATGAGTTGGCATTAGGTACCTTCACGAGGTATATTGTGGTGGTATTGTGTTCCCCAAAATATTGTGCACCCTAATAAACTTATCTGGGGTCATAGAACAGAATAGCCACTAGATACAGAGGCTAGAAAATGGTGGCACTCACACCTTTAATCCTAGCCTTCTGGAGGCATGGATCTCTGTGAAATGAGGGAAAAAAGCAGAAAGGTATGTAAGGCGTGAAGACCAGAAACTAGAAGCTTTTAGCTGGTTAAGTTTTTAGGCTTTTTAGCAGCAGTTCAGCTGAGATTCATTCTAGATGAGGACACAGAGGCTTCCAGTTTGAGGAAACAGGATCAGCTGAGGTATTGGTGAGGTGAGGTGGCTGTGGCTTGTTCTGCTTCTCTGATCTTCCAGCATTCACCCCAATACCTGGCTTCAGGTTTATTCTTACTAATAAGACTTTTTAAGATTCAGTCTACAGTATATGACCTTACATCTATGTACAGTACAGACTTCATGCCACTTCAGAAACTATACCGTCTCTTTGATTTCAAAACTGTATTCCTAAAACCCTTTCTTCCCTTCTTCAAACTACTCAGAATTTATTTTGATGTATTTGCTGTGGTTTAAATGTGTTCCCCAAAGTTTATGTGTTAGAAATAATACCAAATTCCCGTGACTGGTATTTTGAAGTGGGGAGTTGGGAAAACAGTTCGGGCTAGATGGCAGAGGAAGGATGGGGACCCTATTTTGACATTAGTGACTTTATAGGATGGGGAGGGAGGCTAGAGTGAACACGCTTCCTGTCTTCCAATAATGCCCTCTGGCACGTGCCTTCACCAGCGGATCTCCCAGCAACATGCACTAAACAAAATTCTCTTACTTATAAATTATTTAGTCCCAGATATTTTGCTAAGGAACCAGAAGATGGACTAGGTAAATACTCACATATATAAATTAAACACACACACACACATATATGCATGTATACATAAACACACACACCATTTACAAATTTCCTGATATAATGGCAATCTTCTTCTAAAACACAGGCTTTGCTGATGAGAAATGGTTACAGAAAACGTGATTGCTGATATCTCCATATAACGTAGTCCATGTACATCAATCTTATTCCTCATCAGCTGGGCATCAGAGTTGGCCTTTGTTACTTCAGAGAAGAAAAAGAGATGTAAAGCAGGACTATGGAGGTTGTAATTATTCAGAGGGAGGCACAGGGACTCTGACATGCACTAACTGGAAGCAAGAACTGTTCTGGGTACCAATTGCTGCTGGTTTCTGTTGCTGAGTGTAGAGTAAACTATTCCACTGCATACTGTTTCTGAGGAACTGGGCCTATTCTTGGTTGACTAGACAGAATTGTCTATTTAAGGTAAATTGGGCAGAAACAATTATTGGCATGAATCCTTCCAAAAAACCTGCTGCCTCCCCGATTTCTGCCCCTCTGCTGCCCCTCTGTGGTGATTTCACTGTTTCAATGTCTCAACTCTGCATCTGGTTCCTTCTCGGCCCCAGGCTTCCTAAGCACTAAGCTAATCCAGTCATTTTCAAGAGACTTTTCCCTTATTATTGTATTTGTTTCCTGTCATCCAGGCTGGGCTCCAACTTACTATACAGCTGAGGCTGGTCATGAACTCATAACCTCCTTGCCTCCACCTCCCAAGAGCTAGAGGTACGGTCATGCACCACCACCACTCACCTCTGAGCAGCGCTTTTGCAACACCCTGACCAGTCTGACAAACACCTTCCCTCATGGTGTCTTCTTCCCTAACCCACACCACCTGGTCCTGCTGTGTAGCTGAAAGTTTTCCCATGTCCTGGCTGGCTGGGGTCAGGACAAATCTCTTACCCACAGTCCCATAGCCTTTTATAAAATAATCACACAGAGGCTTGATAGTATTTACAAACTGTATGGCTATTAGCTCAGGCTTATTACTGACTAGTTCTTACACTTAAATTAATCCATAATTCTTATTTTTGTTTAGCCACGTAGCTTGGTACCTTTTCTCAGTTCTGCCTTGTCATCTTGCTTCTTCTGTGTCTGGCTGGCGACTCCTGACTCAGCCTTCCTCTTCCCAGAATTCTCCTCATCTGCTTATCCCACCTATACTTTCTGCCTGGCTACTGGCCAGTCAGCGTTTTATTTATCAACCAATCAGAGAAACACATATTCACAGCATAGAGAAAGACATTCCACAGCCCTGCTGTGAGTGAGTGCATCCTATTCAGGGTTCAAACTGTTTTCCCAAGACTGAATCTTGCCCTGGCACATATGCATGGGATAGACTCCTGTCACAGAACAATGGAACATGTCAGCTTCCTCCTCACAGTATGTAATGCTTCCTCCCCACCCCTTGAGACAACACCAATGTCACTTGCTCTAGGATCCCTCCCCAGGCTCTTCCAAACACAGGCCCATTTACTGGGCATGGGGCCTCAGTTTATAGGAACAATTATGGTATCCACTAAAATGAATGTTCCGAGGATGGATGGGGGTTTTCATGAAGATATTTACTGTATGCCCAACACAGAATAGCTCTTATAGATATGTGTGTCTCCAGAAACAAGACGTCCAAGCTGCCATAGCTCTATTGCTCCTGGTGACCCTAAACTAAATGTGAGAGTTTGTATCCACTGCCTTAGCTGCTCCTGCCTCACCTCAATCCTGTCTCTGGTTTTCTTTTCTGTTGTGGGTTTTTTTCTTGTGAAATAGTAGTTTGTTTTAAATCAAAATAAAAATAAACCTCATTTTGAATAAATTTGCCTACAGGAAATGTCACAACCTTAATCTTCCAAGAAAAGTAATACAATTAAAAGTAAACCAGCACACTGAAGGAAAAATTTCACTTCTAGCAAATTTACAAACAATTCCCTATTATGATATTTTATTGAAACATGACATTTCAAGCCAATATTTCTTCTTTCTGGTTGTTGTTTTGTTTTTTTTTTCCTGACAGAATAAATGCATTTCTGTTGTAAAATGTTAGAGGATAAATACCTCAGTTTCAAAGCACTGACAATTACATCTTAGAACTAATTCTCATTAAGACACCAGCGAGTTCATAGTCGTCTCTTCAAAAGCTGTCCAGTAGACTTTGTAGAGGTGGGGCCTTCTGTACCACGTGATGGGAGATCCACCAGAGAGCAATGCCCTTGAAATCTAGCTGGACAACAGAGAGGCTAAGGCTTTAGATGCATTTAATGTTAAGTTTACTGTGTATTATCTTTTCCAGCTTTAATTATAATTCACAAAACCCTATGTAAAGTGTGTATACAATGTGATGGTTTCAGATCCATATGTGTTGTGAAGTAATTTCTGTACTCAGCTAGTGGAACATCCATCGTTACTGGGTATTTGTGTGTGTGTGTGTATGTGTTATATGTGTGTGATATGTATGTAGTATACGGGGAGTGGTGCATGTATGATTTTTGTGTGTGGTATGTATACGTGTGTGGGTATGGTGTGTGTGTGTGTGTGTGTGTGTGGTGTATATGTGGTGGAGGTGTGTGGAATGGGGTGATATATGATGTGGAGAGAGTGTGTATTATATGTGAGGCATGTGTATGAGGTGTGTGTTGTATATGTGGTATGGTATTTGTATGGCATCTGTGTGTTATATGTGTGTGCATAGTGTGTGTATGGTATGTATGCGTATGTGGTATATGTGTTGGATTGTGTGTGTATGTATGTATGTGTGTGTGTGTGTGGTGGGGGTGAGGTGGTATGTGGGTGTGTATAATGTGTGGTATATGGTGTGTGTGATACAGTATTAACTACATAATCATTATGCTGTGCCCTGGACCTCCAGACCCCTTGCATCTGTATCTGCAAGTTGGTACTGTGACCAAATATCTCCTTGCTTCCCCAACTCCCAGACTCTAGAAATCACCACTCCGTCCTCAGGTCTGCACCTAGAGAACCCACCTTGCTGGAGGAGTGATGTCAGACTTTTCATATTTGTTTGACGTTTTCTGTCATGTTTGTGTCAGGGAGGTTTGGAAACCACTTCCAGGCAAGCAGGAAAAAAAAACACTGACAATCAAGGATCACACTTCTACCCAGAGACTTTGACAAATAAAGAATGGGGCAGCTGGCTCACAACTTTACATTTTCTTCACGTGAAAAACACCTCAGATAATTCTTTTAATGTATAAACTGGAAAATGACAATAGATGGTTTAGTCATTACTGATAGAGATGGCATAGATGTCAAAGTGATCTGAGCACAGAAAAAAAAAAAATGCTGCCCTGCCTTACGTGTGTATTTCTACAGGACAGTAAAAATGGCTTCATAGTTAAGAGCTCCTGATGCTTGGTTCCCAGCAGCTCCAACTCAGGCAGCTCACAACTACCTATAGCTCCAGCTCCAAAGGATCTGACACCCCATTCTGGCCTCTGCACATACTAGCAAGCGTGCGCACATGTGCATGTGCGCTCACGTGTGTGTGTGCATGCGCGCGCGCGCACGCACACACACACACATCACAAATAATTTTTAAAATGCTTTTTTTATGCTTCCCACTATCTTCTAAATGCAGTTCTCCAAACTTTTCAGAACTGTATTATTCTCAGGTAGCCCAAGGTGAGGATGGTCTTGAAAACGAAAGCTGTATTATTGGTAAAGAAATTCATGTTTCTCTGTAGGGAAAACCACAACTCTTCTGAGCCCCTTCCAGAAGAGCACAGAAGCTGTGTGTGAGGACCCCTCGGAGAGCAAAAGCCCCAGCTAACCCTCACATCTTTCTCTGCAGCCTTGATCACTGATGACCTCACAGATGCCATTCTCTGTGCCAAGAAAATTGTTAAAGAGACACAAGGGATGAACTATTGGTGAGTGTTTCCGTGGGAGACTCAAGCTGGCCTGCATGGGACCTACCGTGTGTCTGTTCATAGTGGCTAAGGGTGGACATGGAAAGTCGGTATCTGCAGAGTAGTCCAGACAAGGGAATGTGAGTAGTTTATACTCACCTCCACGGAAGTGAGAGTCCAGCGCAACAAACACAGCACAAGGGGCGAGTACGGGAAAAGTCTTGATGTCATGTGAAGGAAAGGGGTCTATCACCACACCAGGGGGCAGGGAGCCTGACTTTGCTCTAAATTTGTGTGAGATTTAGAGGCTGCAACAAGATCTGGTGGAGAAAGGTAATTAATAAACAGAGTGAGGATGAGATGCCCAAGTCTGGAAATGACAACCAGCAGGATCACTTCTGAGCAAGCTCCCTTCATCTCGATGGCTGTATTTCTAATGAATCCCGCTAATCGGGGTACCCATTTGGTAGCTCAGAGCTGGGGCTCTCCATGATCCATCCTTACAAAAGCGATTTGCTTGTTGGTGAGGCAAACAGTGACCAGGAGGAAATGGGGTGAGGGAGGAGGGACAGAAAAAGGCTTTAGTGAGACGGAGGAGGGAATGGAAGCCTTAGGTGTCTGAAGCAGGTTAACCACTGAATACCCCTCCGGAGGTTACACCAAAGGTCATTTGGGGTGGCATGCCTCCTCCTGCTGTCTCCACGCCCATCTCCTCCTCAGGCAGGGATGGAAGAAACACTGCGAGGGTAAGGACTTGTCTGAGTGGAAGAAAGGCTGCGAGGTCTCCTGATCCGGAGCAGGGGCGAGGATGCTTTGCCGCGACTTCCCAGATTTGTAATGAGTATGTACCCCTTCTCCGCACAGCATCCCTTCTCAGAGCTGGAGAGGGGATCCAAGCTGTGTTTAAAGGAAATAAATATTTCCGTTGATATGTCTTCACTTTCCCCTGGCTTGAGTTCAATGATGTCACAAAAACTTGATGCTGTTAAGACTTGGGAAAATCATCTCTGGAATGTTTAAGAGAATAAATTTTTCTTCTTTGCTGTAAAGGTCCCTAAGTATGTAGCCCTGACATGCCTGCTCATTCAAAAATGAGGCTTTTGAAGGTCAAAGGACACACTTGGTAAGGAACCTTAAGAAGGCTGCTAGCCAGTTTGCCAACCCCTACATCCCCAAGAGTGTGTGGCCATTCTTTCTAGTCCGGGGACACTCAGCCCTTCCTCAGATGGATGCTGCTGAAGAGGATGCTCCCGCATCCTGGGTGGAATCCTAACGGCAGCTCTAGTAGAATGAAAACATCTGGAGCAGCGGTTTTGGACTTGTGGGTGGCAACCCCTTTGGTCGTCACATATCAACTATGTAGCAACATTACTGATGAAGTAACAATGAAATCACTTTACTGTTTGGGGTCACCACAGCTTGAGGAGCTGTATTAAAGGGTCATAACATTAGGAAGGCTGAGAACCGCAAGTGCTAGATTCCAAAGAAACTCCAGGCAGATGGTTATCGGTGGTGTCTGTCAGCATACCAAAGTGCATGCTGGCTTCCATGCTCTCTTAGCATTGTAAATACCTGTTGCCAGTCCCCAGCTCTTCTCACCCTGCCCCACCACTTACCCTAAGCATTAACTCACAGGCTTCCCTTGTCCTAGCTTCTCATTCCTGTATAACCCTGTCTTTTAAGCACAGTCATATGCTCATTTTATACAATGACAAAATTGTTTTCATCTCAAGACGTGCAGAATGGATTAGCTTGGCCTGGAACCTGAGGACCGCATGAAAGGAGTCTATACCACGCTGCAGTGGCCCGAGGACATCAACCAGGGAGATATTTCCAGGATGGCTCTGCTGGAGATGGCCATGGCTCCCTCTCCTGACGCACACAGCAGGATGGCTCTGCCCGGGGGATTCATGTCCAGTTTCCTGTACATCTTCCTGTGCCACTGGGCCACAGTTGGTTGAAACTTTGATTCAACCTGCTTTGCTCTAAAATTGAGGTAGAAGCTATAGCCTCTTGTTGAGTGCCATAGGATCTAGACCTTACTAAACTGAAGTTTATTGGAGAAACGGTTACAAAGGAGTAAGTCTCCATTAGAATGGAGAATGCCGTCCTAACACCTACAGAACCCTTCAATGTTCCCCTGTTGCCCCTGCCCAGCCTTGACTGTTACTCACTTCATACCCACTAGCTTAACTTAATCTTTGAAATATCAAAGCTGCTTGTCCAAGACTATTCATCAATATTGTTACAACTTAGCAAGCGTCATAAACCATGAGAGAAAAGCTTTTGGAACATATTTAAGAATTGAAAAATAGTTCTGTAAGATGACTTGGGGAAAACAAAAAAAAAATGTAGAATCCATTAAGGTCCACTAAATCAATAACCTGTGCCTATGGAAGTCCATAAATATGTATTTTCCCTGCTATTGCCCAGTCATCCATCTGTCCTGCAGGCCTCGTTTTCAGCGGAGCCTCCTCCTTCATTAAAACCAGTGGCACCAAGTTAATGAGTGAGGTTGGCACAGACCTGGCGCCAGCCATCAATGGCCAGGGGAAAGAAAAAAAAAAAACAATCCCCAAAGTTCAAGATAATGGGACGCTTGCTGGCGCTACGTGATTGATTTTTTTTTTTTTCAGAACTCATAAAATTTCCAAGCATGCAATCTTACTATTTTCCTCCCCAAATGTTTTATTTATTCAGTATTTCTATAAATACTAATTTGGGTTGAAAATATAACTTTCCATAATGAATGCCTCAGAAATGCAAGAGGAAAGGATTACTTCTATTCTTAGGTTATCTTTATTTGACAAAAGAGTGGTGAGGCAGCCACCCTCATTCCTTCCCTGCGTGCGGTTTCCATGACACCCGGAAGCAGGCTTTCTTCTTTATTTTTCTCACGACCACCGTAGCAGCAGGCCAATCAGATGCACGAAGCAGATGGTTAATATTAGGGGTGTGTTATGAGCACACTTTTTTTCCCTTTGGGGACTGGTTCTTGAGAATCCCCTCCCCCAGGATCTGCACCCTTTACAGCTCAGCTTGCTCTCTGGCGCCCGCCCCTTAACACTTTCTGGTCCTGTCTGCCATCTTCCTCGACACCTCCTGTGTCAAGCCTGCCACATCAAGCCTGCCGTTCCCCCTCTAGATACGGCTGACACTGGTTCTTGCCTAGGTTGGGAAACTTGGCTGCAGCTGGAGCTCAGCCCAGCCCACGTGAAACTTCCCCCTCCCCTGACCCTCAAAGGTCTTTCCTCTGAGTTTGTATTACCCAGGGCTGGTGTTCCTATCCAGTCTGTAAACTTGATGCCTGGATTTATCTTTCACTTCCTTGGTTTGTCGCAACCCCCTTTGCAGTCATGACCACGTAAAGAGCTGGTTATCAAAACTCTGGTGCTGTTTGGTTCTGCTGAGCACCCGGGACGACTGAAGGAGTACAAATGGACTCTTGTGTTTAGAACACTTTCATTGTCAAGATGTTGCTCGCAATAACCTTGGTGTTGGGGAAAGCATGCTTCGTTTTCTGCTGGTCACTCACGTGCCAACTGGGGAAGCGTCTCTCCACCCTCACAGTGTGACACACATCTCTCGAAGCTTATCCTTCTGTGAGATCAAATGGAGAGAAGGAAAGAAGCTATTATGTACACTTTAGATCTGGAATGTTCCTTGAAGGGTCATGTGTTGAAAGTTCTGTCCCCAGCATATAGCGCTATTGGAAAGTGTTAGAAATGGTCAGAAGTTGGGGCCTAACTCATCAGGTAAGGACACTCTGTGTGCAAGTTGAAGGACCTGAGTTCAAATCCCCTGAACACAGATCTTTTAACACAAGCCAGATGTGGTTGCATGTGCTTGTTGCTCAGCACCAAAGGAGAAGAGACCGCAGGATCTCTGGGGCTTGCTGGCCATCAGCTTAGCTCCAGGTTCAGTGAGAGACCCTGTCTCAGGAGATAAAGCAGAAAATGAGAGAATGCCTGTTGTCTTCCCTGATCTCTGTACATGCTCATAGTCACATCTACCTGCACATACATTCCAGGTATGCAACACACACACAGAGAGAGAGAGAGAGAGAGAGAGAGAGAGAGAGAGAGAGAGGAGAGAGAAATTAAGAAATATTTAGAAGGTGAAGCCTTCATGGAGAAAGCGTGCCATTGGTGCTGTTCCTTTGAAGGGACACTGTGGCCCCTACCCCTTCCTCTCTTTCTGCTTCCTGGCCGGCATCTCTCCATCACAAGGCTCTGCCTCACCGTAGATAGAGATCATGACTTATGACCCTGAAACCCTGAACCAAAAGACATCCTCTTTTGTCCCTGGTGTTTTGTCGCACTGGTAAAACTCTGGCTGACTCAGCAGCTAACTGTTCCACTGGGTGGCAGAGAAAGGATGACCCTCCCTACCCATACATGGTCACAGAGTGGACACTTCTGACGACTTAGGCTCCGTACTGCCGATGGGCTGTATACCAGGCTGTGGTGCTGTCCCGGTCTTTCTTTTCCTCACCTTACTAGTTAATCTCTGATTATAATAGAAATCTGTATTTATCATGAAGCACAAAGAAAAGTGTTTTTCCAAACTACAAAAGTGAAATCTCAACATTTAATAGCGACAACTAAACTTTTTGTTTCTCTTCTCCTTCATCTACTCCGTGTAAAGTATTTTATTTTGTATACTGCTCTTTTTTTTTTTTAACTATACCACAAGAGTTCTGCCACAGAAAGTTTTTCCAAAATATTCACATGGAAGAGTGTGAGAGTTCTCACAATTCCCCATAGTTCATTTCCTCTTCCCTCTGCAGTTGTAACTTTGAGTTAACGAATAGCATTTTCAGACCTTGGACGCTAAGCCAAATTCTACAAAATGCCCTTTCTCCTCTCAATGTTTATTCTGCTCCAAACTTCATCCAAAGTCCTCAATGCACTTTTACAGTCTCTGTCATCCCATGGCTCTAGAGAGCATCTAGAGCTGCTTGGGGGTGAGTGAAGGAGGTTAGAAGCACGGCGTTGATTACAGTCTCAAATAATTATCTATCTATCTATCATCTATCGTTGGTTGGTACTGTAAAGGCAAGTCACAGTTTCCCCGTTCCTGCCTGGACACAGATCAAAGCCACTACCAAACAGAGCAAAGAGCTCTGAAGAAAGTACCAGAGCCACTCCATGACTAGCTGTGTGCACAGACAAGGTACCGTGTGTCTGCATCTCTCTTGCACAGTGGGAGTGATAAGTGCCATACACAGTGTGGAAAAGGGGATTGCCATAACAGCAGAAGCACATGCCACGATGCGGACCTGAACAGCGGTTGCTGCTGTAGCTCAACCTATTCACTTTCCCTTCTCCACTAGGTTCTAGCAGGTGACTTCTCACCGGCTCTGCAAACACTCCTCAGGAGCGACCATATTTTGCATGAGATAATGAATGACTCGCTCCAAAGGCAAAGGAGCAGATCCTGACAAAAAGAAAGCCATATGAAACTGTGGTTGGGTTTATTTTAAAACCTCTCTACAACTATGATTTCCAAGCTATAGGGGAAAAAATTGAATTAAACAAACAAACAAAAAAAAAAACACACCCCACTCTGTGGCTAGATTTTCCTGGCTGCTCCAGACCACATCCACACTGGCAGCACAATCCTTGGTAAGGAAGAAAAATCTAAATCTATAGTTACCTTGAAAAGCATTCATGCAAAAATAAAGGCCAGATTCAGAAGTAATCCGACTTCTGCATCGCCTCTCAAAACGGTATCCTGTTACCGTCTAAAGCAAACAGAGCAGTTTGGGGCTGACAGGCTGCGCAAAAGGGCAGATTGGAAAAGATTAAATATTTGTGAAAAAAAAAACCCCATACACTCCTTCACAAAGGGCCGCCTCAGTCTGGAATAAAAGGGCAGGAAAGCAGGGGAAGGAGGCGGGAGCTAGAAGAGAGCCTTATCTTTGCAGGGCGAG